TCAAAAGGTGTGATCTTTTGGAAGTCTTGACTCGAGTCGCCTCATGGATGAGACATTACAACTTTTAATACACGTAACAAATTAAATTTCGAGAAAGATTTAGAATATCTAATATAAAATTTCTTTTATTTAATTTGGTACGATATGTCATATCTTGTTGCCTCTCCATCAAATTCAAATTTGAAATCATCTTCGTATATTTGTAAAGAAAATGATTTGAGATTAAAAATGAAAAAAAATCCAGAATTATTTTTTGTATTAATAATTAGAAACCAAATCCTACAAACTCGATGATATACTCTAGTATTTTTTTTTTTTTGAATTTTTATTCTTCCGTGATGCATAATGATTCATTTAATTGTTGTCTTTTACTTTCATTTGATCCCTTCTTATTCCTATCTTCTTGACTTCTTAACCTTTTTCATTGAAAAAGAGAATGAATAAAAAATAATAGACCACCTTTTCCACCAAAATGCATTGATTTAAAAATTTGAAAGAAAATTAAAAAAATTCAAAATTTAATTTTACATTAGTAATCAGGAACCCAAAACCCACGAACTCGATGTTATACTTGATGATATAGTCTTATTTTTTCTTGTATTTTTATTCTTTCATGATGTATAATCTTTTCTTCAATTATTGTGTCTTTTACTTTCATTTCTAAACTTCTTATTCCTATCTTCTTGCCTTCTTAACCTTATCTTTGAAAAAGAGAAGAAATAAAAAAAGAGACCAGTCAAATAAATAAAATGAAAGCAAAAGTTACAAATGAGTCATGCATACTTCAACTATTATTGGGGCGGATCCTAGATATTAGTTCAGCGTGGGCAAAATTCTATTGACGCAAAATAAAAATGCAATAGGTTGTACATGAACTGCTCAAACCAATATACTCGAAATTCAAACTGTAAAATAAGTCTATGTTGTTAAAACTATGAAGGAATGACTGAATAAATGCCTCAAAAAAGGTCAAGAAATTGTCTATATAGTATCTTTTTCCAGTGGCATCTTCTCGACATTTCCATCCAAAAACCCAATTGAATCATTCCAACCCATATTCAAAATTCAAAATGGTCCAGACCTTTAACCAATAACAAATAAATAAACGAACATTCATTCTAAATTTCAATTTAAAAAGAAAAGACACTCACGTGCACAATTAAGCAAACACGAAAAACTAATAAAAACAATGCAAAAAATATCAGAGTTACACAATTACAAATGCATCTAATCTAAGCAAAACGACCACGCACACTGCAGCATTTTACTAGTGGAATATAGTCTATGTTCACAAATTAAAAGCAACTGAAATAATCAACCTCGGAATGCACCGAAATAAGTAGAAAAAGAAGCTTGAAACACAACAAAAGCACAGTTGAGTGACCAAAATACAAAACAAAAATAGCTAATTAACTTGGAAAACATAATTTTATAATGCTTGAAAAGCTTAGCATCGATCAATCCTCAAGATTCAAATTTAAAATCCCACAAGTTGACAGTCTTCACCAATCATATTTAACATTTTACCAGCGGTATACCTATTCAAAGGTAGAGTAGAATCAAATATAATTATTTGCAGTACAGATAGAAATCCACATTCACAAACCCCTAATAAATCACTGAGTTTCTGCCTTGACAACTTTCTGAATGATAACAAATAATTGGTTAGTTGAACCACTATAAACTTAAAGATAAAAGACTAATCTGGAGTCTGCCAAAGAAAATCCAAGTACCTGGAAGAAGGTGATGAAATATGGGGTTAAGATAGTCATACTGTTTCTCATTCAAATAGAAAGAGCAGAAACAGGAGTGGATGAGTAATCAGAGTCGAGCGTGAGGAAAAGTTAAATTGCAAGTGCGAAAAATGAGACTACCATTGATAGCAGTATCGATATAAACCAAGTAATCTGCCAAAATGGTGAGTTCAGATCAGAAACAGGAGGACGAGTGTCCGGACTCCTTGTAGACTATTCGGGTAGAATCCGATTTCTGGTCCTCCAGCTCTATTTTATCATCCTCTGTCTCTTCATTGCCTTGGTCAACCAACTACACGTTTCCTCTGACGCCGACCCCCTGCACTACTTCACCGCCCTCCAAGCCGTCGCCGTTCTCTTCTGCTTCTCCAGGACAACAGCGGATGGGGGCTACTGGGCTTTAATGAGGGGATTAGCACAATTGAAAAAAAAAAAAAAAAAATTTTGGGCCTTTGGGGTTGAGCCCAAAACATTGGACTCCGCCCCTGACGGTCACTGTTCTTCCCCCTTCTCATTTTCCAGGTTTGAGTTTTCTGCATTTCTAGCTCCTTTTTTTTTTATATTTAATTTTTTGATTTCGAGCGAGTGAAGAAGATCCTATGGAGATTGGAAAGTATTACAAATGTTGATAAACATTTATAAAATTTGATGTTTTAGAAGTCTTAACTCGAGTCACTTGATGGATGAGACATATTACAATTTTTAATGCACAAATCAAATGAAATTTCGAGAGAGCTTTAGAATACCTAAAATAATTTATTTTTTATTTAATTTGGTATGATATATACTTGATGATATATTCTTATTTTTTCTTGTACTTTTATTCTCCCATAACGTATAATCTTTCCTTTGATTGTTATGTCTTTTACTTTCATTTCACCGCTTCTTATTCATATCTTCTTGCCTTCTTAACCTTTTCTGTAAAAGAGAGAGGGAATAAAAAAAGAGATCGATCAAAATCATAAACGAGCCTTGCATACTTTGACTGTTTTTCTCTCTTTTCCTTTTCGAGGTCTGATTTGTCTGCATTTCTAGCAGATTTTCTGTTTAATTTCTTTGATTTTGAGAGAGAGAAGATCTTATGAAATTTGGAACATATTACAAATTTTAATAACCAGTTACAAAGTTTGTTATTTTAGAAGTCTTGACTCGAGAGGCGTCCTTACAATTTTTAATAAAACAAAACAAATAAAATTTCAAGAGGGCTTTAGAATATCTAAAATATTTTCTTTTATTTAATTTGGTGTGATATCACGTATCTGACTATCTGTCCTTAAAATTCAAATTTCAAATTCCCTTTATACATTTGTCATGCATTGATTTAGAAATCAAAGGAATATTAAAAAAAATTCCAAAAATTAAGTTTACATTAACAATTGGGAACCCAAATCCCGTGAACTCGATGATATAGTCTAATTTTTCTTGTATTTTTATTCTTTCATGATGTATAATCTTTCCTTTAATTGTTATGTCTTTTACTTTCATTTTATCCCTTCTCACAAATCTTTCAAATTTAATTTTACATTAATAAACAGCAACCCAAATCTCACAAATCTTGAAAAAAAAAAAAAAGGGGTATCAATCCGTAAATTGTATTAGACAAATCTGGATGGATCACTATAAAATCAACACTAGCTTCATAATATAATCTTGTATAATTCAACCTAACAAACAATAATCTAAAGACCATTTTTGTAAATATGAACACAAATACCGTATAAATATCAGGATGTACCAATGATATAAAACGAGCGCTTAGGCACGAGGTGCGGTAAAAAGCTTTGCCTTGTCATTAGACGCAAATTACGCAGTCAAGTTGACCACTAAATGCACGCATAGATGCTCCTTATTATTATTTAAATTTTTCCCTTTTTTAAAAAATATTTTATTTAATATAATTTATTAAAAAAAATTTTAATTATTTTTTAAAAGACTTTTATTTGACTTTCAATTTCAAGTTTTTAAATGACTTTATTGCACAAAAGGAAAAAAATTACATTATCCGACAAAGATTTAGATAAGATTTAAGTTATGGTGCTATCTATATTATATAATTTTGATTCTGAGTCTTATCATTTTGTTTGGCTGGAAAATTCGAAAATCTATATGAAGTTCCAATAAATTTGTTAAGTAGATCTTGTCTAGTTAAAAGTTTAAAAAATGGTCTAACATAAAAATTGTATAATTGACTAATTATAGATATTATTAAGTAAATCATTTTATAATTTTATATATTTGATATGTATTAATTTAGTTATTAAATAATTTTTAGAATGATTAAATATTTAAAATCATAATAAAAATAAGTTTCATTTTCTTTTAAGGGTTAGGTTATGCCTAATCTTGCTTAGGTAAAGCTCGAAATTTAGTATCCACTTCTAGCCACAACTACAACAAAAACAACCTTTTGCAGCATTCAAAAATGTTTTTGAAGACATTTTGCAATGTTCGGCTACATGTTGCAAATTAGGATGTTGTCGTAAAGTGGAAGGATACGACGGCGTTTTTTTAAACATTGTAAAAAACTCTTTCACAATATTTTTTTAATATTGTCAATAACTTTTTGCAAACTTTTTTTGAATGTTGCTTATAACCTTTTGCAACATTTTTTTAAATATTACTCAACATTTGTTGAATGTTGCTAATAACCTTTTTGCAATGTTTTTTGAACATTGCTAATAACCTTTTTGCAACGTTTTTTGAACATTGCTAAAAATATTTTTGCAACGTCTTCTAAATGTTGCTAATAAACTTTTTGCAATGTTTTTCAAGTATTGCTGATAACATTTTAGCAATGTTTTTTAACCATTGCCGTATTTTTATTTTTTTTTACATGAATTTATTTTACTAATTCGTTTTTAAAGTACTTAGTATATTAAAGTTTAAAGTCAAAAATTAAATAAAAAGAAAAAGGGCTAAAGTTCAAACTAACTAACAATGAACATGAAATTACAAACATATTCATTCAATCCCAAAATTTTTGAGTTCAAAACAACATAAAATAAAAATAAATTACTGGATTAGTTAAAGTCCGACTATTGAAGAAACTTTTTTTCATGCAGATGAAGCATACTTCTTCTCACGAAGGATATATATTGCATACAAATAAGAAAAAAACTCACCATAAATTCCTTAAAATCTAAATTCTAGCAAGAAAATTAAATAGAAACGCATTAAACTGAAGTTCACAAAAATTTCGAATTGCTTCTACTTTTATTACTACTTTTATGAACAAAAGCAAAATGCAAAAAATTGACATTTTCAGCAAAAACTGTTCCATCCTCTCCGTCGCTAACTTAATCAAGTTCCTCAAAGAAGTTAGCAGCTCATTTATCAACCAATCCAACAGTGTTAACAGATATATTAAAAATTAGATTTGAGGTAGATCACTACTTGTTCATAACCTCTTCCACATATAATACAGAACAAGAAAATGAACAGTCACTACCTGCAAAAATTTGCAAAGAGAAAGTCCTAAGTGGCTTGTAATGAATAAATCTATTGTTGAACTCAGGACAAAAGGCCTCTGTACTTTGACAGCTTCCAGATCACAATTCTCTTTTAGCTAGCCCTTGTAAACTTGGCCGAGGGATGTTGTCATTATAATACATGAGCTTCACATACAACTATACAAGACAAATTTAGAGACAAAGTATTGAGAAGCTGTGAATGTAAAAATTAATGCACGTTTGCAGCAAATGATGTTAAATAAATGGCAGCCAAAAGTGAATGGTCATTAGACTAACAGTGGCTATAAGGGAGGGGGAAAGTTTAGAATAGATGTTATACCATTGTTGTCCAAACTCTTCTTCAGTAAGAGTCATAGCCACATCATCTAGAAATGATGGAAACTTCACCACTGATGATGCAAAAAGTTAGAAACAAAAGATCAGTTCAAGTGAAAATTAAAATCAGAAAACAAGAAAAGACCTTGCAAAAAAATGAAAAAATAACTTAATCCTTTTTTTGGGGTGATTGTACCTGCAAGACTTTAAAACTTAAACAACTTAGTCCGAATGAAATGGGGGCAATCACATGTATATGTCTGCAGAGGCAACAACCAGCTACCATTGAGACTATAGACACAATTTAAATGAAGTTGAAAAGGTAGGAACTCAAGAGCAAAATTTTCAATTGAAAAAGAAATCGATTGGTAAATTCCACAACTATATAATTAACCTTGCACCGACCAAAATCATGAGGAATTATATCATTATCCAACCCTTTAGTAGCCTTCAACATATAGAAAATTACCATGGCATCAACAATTGATACCAAACCATACTGAAAAAACAAAGATTTTACAAATACTAAAAGCTCTTGCTAAGAATGCAAAAATACCTTAGTCGAATCCAAATTTAAACGACTCGGTCTGAATGAAATGGGGGCAATGAACTGCATACGTCTACAAAGGCAACAACAAGCTACCATCGAGACTAAAGACACCATTAAACGAAGATGAAAAAGTAAGGAACTTAGAGCAAGATTTTAAATTAAAAAGAAAACGATAAATTGCAAATGAAAAAAGAAAATACCGTCAATATCACCAATCTCCTTTTCAACTTTCATAAGACATCCAAGATACATACCAAAAAAAGTAGACGCGAAGAGGTTGAGTGGTTTAGGTTTTATTGCCTTCGTGAGAGAGGAGAAACAAAGATGAGAAGAATGAAAGGTCTAGGGTTTGTACCAGAGAGCTGCTAGGGTTTATGATAAGTATGGGTAAGGTTATATGAATTTTCTTTTGGACAAAATTATTTCAGATTATTTGGAAAAATGAAATTTTAAGAGCCAACTAAAATATAAAGCATGAAGTGAAATTTTGGAGGGAGAATTGAAATGAAGGTGAAAATTGACTATTTAAAATTTTCTACAATTATACTTTTTATTTGTTACAATTGATTAAATTAATAATCAATTTAACGTGTCAATGAATATATCACCCACTATATGTATGAAGCTTGATCACAAGAACGTTAATTCGGAGCAGGCACAAAGATTTGCTCGCATGCACGCACAGAGATCGGAAGGAATGGGAGCTTTCAATCTGACTTTTTTTATTTAAAAAAAAAAATAAAAAATAAAAATATATATATATAATAAGGCCACCTTTTGAATTGGGCCTGAGACAACTCAAAACTAGGCCTGGGTTGATGAGAGGTGCAAGGTATCACCTTTTGCAACGTTTGATAAATATTGCGAACACGAAGAGAAACCTTTTTACAACGTTTGATAAATGTTACTGAATATTTCTCTTTTTGCAACCTTTGAATAACATTGCGAAAGAGAAACCTTTCGCAACGTAAAAAAATCGCAACACAAAATAAATATTGCGAAAATGTGAATAAACAAAATTCACTTAAAAATGTTGTCAAATCTTAATTATTAATACCAATGGCAACGTTCACCTATTAGAAATTGCAATGGACCATTTTAGCAACATTTTATTAATGAATGTTGCTATTTGCATATTGCAAAAAGACATTATTATTGTAGTGGATGTTTTACGTTTTTTAAAATCCTAGGATAAAATATTCATTTATTATTTTACTCAAAAGGTCTACAAATAGAAAATTAATCTATAATTTAGTAAATTATGAGTAAGAATTATTATAATTCAAAAAAAAATTATAAAAATTGAATTTTATAAAAGGTAAATGGAAATAATATGATAACAACCATAATTCACCGTTAACAAATGCGTATATCTCCATTTTCTTGTATTTTTTTTTCATGTTTTAACCTCTATTTATATCTTTTATTAATGAAATCATCATTTTCATTGATTTTCATCCAATTTCTCAATAAAAACATTTGTGAAGTGACAATTGACGAATACACGTTCCAGAAAAATATATTCCAATTAAAACCACCGCAAGTGTATTTGAGTTCAAATATCGTCCATCAGAGATTGATTTAATTCGATTTTAATTATTGCGATCTTAACCGACACAAAAATGATAAGATATGTTTGTTGTGATAAAATTATAACTAAAAAAAACTACGTAAACAGGTATGAATGAATTAACCAAAGTAATATTTTTGATTAATAAAAATTATGAATGAAAGAAGGAAGTTAATATTTTTGATTCGTGCGAACTAAGTGCTGCTCCTGTGCTAGTGACCTACATCAACAAAAGGATTTAGGATTGAAGGACAAAAGATATTTTTTTATATGAATTCTTGTCATTGTGCAAAATTTTCTTACTGTTGGATATTGGTAAAATAAATCGAGAATTGAAAATCGATTAAAGTGACTTCGTATCGATTTCGGTCAAATACTCAAAAGCTCGACTCAATTCGTTTAGGCAAAATTGTTTGCCACTTCGTCGCTTCGCGGCGCACAAACGGGGATCGACCTGCCCTGTCAGATAGCGGGGGTCGAGGGGGCAGCGCCCCCGAAAGAGAATTTTGATTTCTCTGCATGTATTGAAGGGTATATTTGGCATTTCGAAAACCAATATCAGATGAATGAGAAATTACGAAAAAGGATGAAAATTAGTGAATAGACATCTTTTCATAAATGTGCATTGTTTGGAAAGGGTGCATGGTTTGGCCTCAACCATTTCGTCCACACCCTTTCATGGTCTATAAATAGGACCCTTTGGGTGTCCTATTCCACAAAATTTGATATGTAAAACGTCTCTCATCCTCTTTTCTATCCAAAATCAAAATCATTTCATTTATTTTGATTTTCTTTCATTTCATCCTTGGAGTACATAAGCCTAAATTTGGTTCGTTGTACTTGTGTTTTGGAGTGCTAGAAACACAAGTGTAGTCGTTGTATCTTGAGAGTCGATTGTCGAAATCCGTAGGCACCGTTGCGGGGCAAATTCGACTTAAGGACAAAGAGTCCAACTCTTGCCTCGACTTTGTCACCATCATTATACTTATTTTGGCGTCACTATTCACAAAATTCATCCAACACTTATATTGAACAAAGGAATTGTCGGCGCAAATATTTTACAAAATAAAATAAATATTTTATTCCAACATTTTTCCTCACTTAGTTGAGCCTCTTGCTTTTTTATTCTTCTCTTACTCTCTTCATATTTATTAAGGTATTACACCGGTATAATCTGGGGCAGGGGAGATGCAGGGCATGACTGTTAGATCATGTACAGGAAGAAATAATTTGATGTTTAAAGTCGACTTTCTAAAAAAATAATAATAATAAATAAATAAAATTAGCTGTTTTTCCATCTAATATCCTTAATAAAAATCCTAATTACATAACATGACATTTAGTATTTATGTTAAAGTCCTATTTTTCTTTCCACGTGTAAGCAATATAAGTTCAGTGAATATTTCATATTTATTTTTATCTTTTCGAATTGAAAAGTGATATTCACACTGTTTTATCACTCCTAAACATTTGATTTCGTGTTACATATGTTTTCTACTCATTTTTATTTATCTTGATTTTTCAAAACTTCATATTTAGTTCACATAAAATAGACATAGCAAAAACTTAAAACTAACAAAGTAATCTTAGCCTCTTCTACCAGGTGTACCATGCAAATTGAAAGTATCTGATTCGACCATGAAATCATCTAGAGAGAGGGTGAATAGGTGAATCACGAGGAATTAAAATTACAAATTGAAAGCAACAAAAGTCATTTTGTAATTGTTCTAGATGTTTAGTAATTCAAATCAATTTTGTCCAATGTTGAATTGCCACAATCAATAATGTGGAAGCAACAAAGTAGTAAATAATACAAAATATGTTGATGGAAAAAATCCAATCTGGTAAAAACTCCGAGACCAAGCCAGTAATCTCCATTGCAGACAATATGAACTTACAATATGATTAAGCCTAGAAAATCCACTAGACTCACTTATATAATTCATGCAATCTCTAAGATCCGCTGAAACGTGCTTCATTCACACACATTCCCGATCTTCTGGAATCATCTATATTCTATGGATCACCAAGAATATCTTGTTTTTGTACTCACACATGCCTGTCAATCATTGAAATTGAAAAGGAAACTTAATTAATTGAGTCATGCTACACTTACAAAGTTAAGTTACAAAGTTGGGTCACAAAATAACATCTACACCAATCATTTCAAAAATAAATTTTTAAATCATTTCAAATCAGTGACCTACGATTTGTCAACACACCTGATATCTTCACTTTTATAAAGTTAATTTGTAAGAGTAGCTTTATTCTAATTAATTATAATAAAGTGCAACTGACTTTTTTGGTGACACAAAATCATTATGTGATGCGTACTATGCCCAAAAAGTGTGCATAATATAGTATATTATATTAAATCATTCAAATCGTTTAAAAATAAAAAGAAAATTACTTTATCTATCCATCAATCAAATCACGGCCAACTATGAGCAATATTTAAAAAAAAAAAAAAAAACCAAAGTTCACATGGCTAGAGCCTAGAGGAAAGGTTTTAAATCAATATTAACCTAATTAATTGTAAATTTAAGTATATATATATATATATATATATATATAATCCTATTCCATAAAAATTTTCGGGGCTTTACAAAATGGGCTCTATCGATGAAATTAGTAATTGAAGGAAAGGGAAAAACTGGTTATTTGACCGAAGACACAAAGAAGCACAAAGAAGCCTACAGACGCCACTTGATTACAAAGATGGAAATCAAAAAAGTCTATGGTCATGGCTTGGCTGGTAAATTCTATGCAGCCATCTATTGGAAAAAAGCATACATTTTCCTCCCAACCGCAAAGGACATTTGGGATACTGTCAGAGAAGTGTATTCGAACCATGTAAACACATCCTAGATTTTTGAAATTAAAACCCGATTGTGGCAAGCCAAACAGGGAGAAATGGAGGTTAGTGAGTATTAAAATGTTGAAGATTGAATCATTTGTATGACCTACATCCCCAACTGCTGACATATTCACCAAAGGACTACCCAGGCAAAGTTTTGATAATTTCGTCCACAAGTTGGAAATGGTCAATATTTACCATCCAACTTGAGGGAGAGTGTAGAAACCGTGTGTATTAGTGGATTGATTGGGTTGATACTTTATACTATATTTAGTTTAGTTCTTTCCTTACACTGGTAGTCGTTTAAATAAATTAGGAAGTTTCTCTTTCTTCTCCTAAATTAGAAGATTCTTTTCCTTTTCTTCTTCTCAACATTATACTATAAATAGGGCCGTATGTTTCGCTATAGAATATAAATAGAAGAACTTCCTTTCTTCAATGCCCAATCTTTTGAGTCAAAGAATATCAATTTCATAATCTAAAATTCAGATTTCGTGAAGTTTTTTTTTCCTGGATTTCTTTTATGCTTTTACAATCTGGTTAAGGCTTGAAGAATCCTCTAAAGTTGTATTTTTTGGAGTCTAAGTACCTCAAATTCAACGTGAGAGAGTAAATAATTCTTTTACTACAACATTTTTTCACGATTCAAGCTAATTTATAAAGTTTTCTTCTTCATTTTCATTGTTGTTGCAAAAAATTTCCCTATTGGCGGTTCAATTTTTTGTTGTTCAGACATTGATGAATATTTTCCAACAATGTGAATGTGTTAATCATTGAAGTGGAGGCCAAATCCATTATGGCTATAATCAAGATGATGATCAAGATTTTGTAAGACTTGATTAGTTTAATGGCACAAATTTCGCTCGATGGCAAGGAACAATCAAGTTTCTTATTATGGAGCATTGGCCATGAGCACCTA